CAGCCCCGGTCGCCCCCTCGGGGCCGCCGCGGGCCCCTCCCGGCCGGCGCTACCGGAGCCTCTCGGCGTTGCTAAACTTAGTCATTTTCCACTCGGGCGAGCGGGGCAGGGGCTGTTTAAATTAGCCGGGGCTCGCTGTAAATAACGGCGCTGCGGCTCAGCTGTCTGCAGGGTCCGGGGGAGAAGGGCGCGGGGAGACGTCGCCGGGGAAAAAGGAAGGCAGCCCGACGGCTTTTGGACAGTTGGATAAATGATATTTATGTAACGGGCTGGCTCCTGTTTACAGCAGAGCCGACCTCCCTTGCAGCGCCGGGGAGAGGGCGAACCGGCACCCCGCCGCGGACGGGGCGAACCTGCCCCGGGAACGCCGCTGGCTGCTGCTCCCCGGTGACCGGGACTCCCGGGGGCTCGACCGGGAATAACAGACCCGGCCGGGCTGCGGGGGAAGGAGCGGGGAGAGCGGAAGGAGCTCCGCCGGGAAGCTCCGAGCCGCCCCGGTGGAGAGCGGCCGGCCGGCGCCGGGAGGCTGCGGGGAGAACCGGCGGTGGGACCTCCGGGAGCCTGCTTGCAGGGGCTCCGCCGCCTCCCCGGCGCCGAGGGCACGGTGCAAACCGGCTCCCTTCCCTCCCGCCGGGTGCCCGGGAAGCCCGACCGACCGCAGCGATCGCCCGACGGAGCCCGGTACCGGCCGCTCCCGGGGCTATTCCCCGCTCAACGAGTGCGGCCCCGCGGGAAGGACTAACCCTCCAGCGCGGCACCCCTTTGTCTTTCCCCACCGTTCTCCCCCTCTGGACGGAGGAAAGGGTGGGATTCGCCGCGGCCCGGGCGGGGGAGGGCGGCCGAGACGGGGGGCCGCCGCCCGCGCTCCGTCCGCCGCAGCTGCTGGAGCGGCCCCGGGGGGGCGGCGGGCCCGGTGCCGCCGAGCGGGGCACACCTGTCGGCCCCTCTCCCGGCGCCCCCGCGGCTGGACGGACAGCTGAGGGGACGGGCTGGGGCGGGGGGGCCTCCTCTGCCCCCCACCCCCCTCCATATCCCCCTCTGCAAGAGGCGCTGGGGGGGGGTCGGTGCAGCCCCCGGTCCCCGTCGGGGCTGGGCAATTCCCCGGCCGGAGTTCCCGGGGCTCCTCACACCTTTCCCACCCGGGATGGGAGGTGAAGAGCTCGGCTCCTCGGGGGTGGCCGCCGTGGGGTACGCTGCTGTGGGACTTGGGGGGCCTGGCAGAGCCCGGGTGTGAGCCCCCCAGCCTCCACAGCCGGCTGGTGCTTCGAGGTGGGGGTGCAAGAATCCAAAAGTGCCTCCTGGTTCCTTTGCCTTGGAGGGAGGCATCCTCCCGACCCACGGGCCCGTCATCCGCACGCTTTCTGAGCTTCCCGAGGGGAATTTGGCATCCCCCAGACAAGCTTGTGGGTCCTCCACACCCTGGCCCGTGGCCTGGAGGGTGCTGGATGAAATGACTCCATCCCCTCTGCGATTTTGGGAGATGCTCAAAGCTCAGGAAGGTGTCTTTCAGCAGTGTCATCCCTGTTCCTGTCCCACCCTGCCAAAGGCAGGGAAAGGACCACCTTTTTGGCGACGGGACGAGGGTCTCCCTGGCTCCCCGCGCTCCCCTCGGTGAGCTGGAGGGATGGGTGTTCGTGCAGGCTGAGATGGTGCCTTGCTGGGAGGGACAAAGAACTGCCTGCTGGCTCCTGAGGGACCAGCAGAGCATGGTAGCTGCTTTCAGTCTCTGCAGATGTCTGCTTGATTTTTTTTTTCATTAGCAAATGGTCGTAGCGCGCTCCGTACTCCTTACAGGGAGCCCTCGAGGGGAGATGTCCTTCCCCGAGAGCCTGGAGAGGGGTCTGGGCAAGGGGGGGTGCTTTTCCTGCTCTTACTGGTGTTACGGGGTGACCTGGAGCCCAGGCTCCCAGCTGAAAGCCCACCTGTATTTCCGAGTTGTCTCCTGACCAAGGCACTGGTTCAAAACCCAGTATCTCTCTCTGGCAGAGAGACCGTTGCAAGCCTCACTTAATATCTATTACCTTTCTATAAGGGCTTAATTCAGGCAATTAATAGATCTGCAAATTGTGAGCGGATTGCGAAAGTATCGGTTAATGCACCCTACAGAGAATCGGCGAAAAAAAAGAGCGGCATCTTCTCTCTCTCTGCCAGATGCTACCCAAAACCTTGAGATTGAGAGGTGAGGCTGACTTTGGAGACTGCCAAAAAGAAAAAGCCAGAAACCCGATCCAGGAGAGCGCTCCGAAAGGAAGATGAGATGAGCTTGGGGCCGTGAGGTCTGTCCCGTGACCTGGCACATGTGTCCCCGGGGCTGTGGGGACAGGGGAGGGTACCTGGGCTGGGAGAGAAGTTCTCCCAGATGGGGAGAACCGGTGGCTCCGTTACCATGCGTCGGGAAGGCACCGGGATGAGACCGTGGAGGGAGGAGGAAAGGGGGGGAGTGGGTCAGAAACGGGAGGTTTTGGCGTTTCCCAGCAGGCTGGGTGATTATCTGGCTGTTTGAAAATGGGAGATTGCTATTTACTTAGGGCCTGATGGCAGAGGGGGCAAGGCTCCCCCTCTTGCCACAGGGGCATCGGGGCTGTGCCAAAGCCCTGGGCATTTGCTGTTGGCAGGGGGACAGCCCCCACCAACTGGCATCAAAGTTAGTGGCGAGGCTGTAGGGGAAAAAACCCCTCTCTTGTCAACACCGGGCTGAGATGGGCTTTGGGGTTTCAGACGGCTGGAAAAAGAGGATTTCTGAGGCCGGCCCCGCCGCGCTTCCCTTCCTCCCCTTTGTGTGCTGCTCCCCCTCGCCAGCACCCCTGCCCTCCTCCCGCCTCACCTCTGAATATTAATGCCTCTGGCAGATTGGATAATAATGTGACTGGGAATTGAATGAAGCTGGTTATTAGCTCTGGGCTTCCTTGGGGCATTTAAGGGAGTCCACAGGCTGTTCCTGGAGGCTTCTCAGCATAAGGGACCGGGGCCGGACCCGGCGCAGAGGGGGTCGCTTCTGTGGGAGAGGATTTGCTTGAAATCCTTGTCTCCCTCCAACCCCGGAGGAAGACAAATAGGGCAGGGTGGCCAGAGCCACAAATTCCCCCGGGACGGTTGGGGATGGATCGGCTGGTTTTCAGCAACAATTAAATATGAAAAGTTATTTTCAGGAAGGAACTAGGGAGATGTAGCTGGGCAGAAGCTGGGAAACGTTCCTGTTATTATTAAGCTTTAAATAGAGATGGGGAGCCAGCACAAGAGATCTCCTTCTTCCCTCCCCACCGCTGTCGGAGCGTTGCCTGGCTGATTTGGGAAGAGGGCCAATCCTCCACACACCAAATAGGAAATTTCTCGCTGATTTGCAGGGTACAAGTTCAAACTCAGAGCCCTCATTTCTGCAGAGCTGCACCTTACGGTGTCCCTCCTCGGGAGCTACCTGGCCTTTCCATGGGCAGCTCTCTGGATGCTTTAGCACGATATATCCCCATCACGCAGAGGAGAAACTGAGCTCTGCCAGAATTACCTGATCTGAGCCAGCAAGACAACCTCTGTCCCTTGACCCTCAATCCGATGCTCCTCGCTATCTCCCAAACCGCCAGAAAATAAACATCTACACCCTGTTAACTAGTGCAAAAGAGGAGGGGAAACCAGAGCTGAATTTGCAGAAGCTGCTGTTAATTTTGCCCAGTTGATTTTTCGACTGTTCGAAGCAGTCAGAGATGCATTAACGGGGCTGTGGCTGCTGGGGATCTCCGCTGGTGGGGGGGAGCTGGGTCCTGCCCGCATTAAATTAACCCCTGAAAATCATCACACCATCAGAGCTGCTGGGAAGGAGACACCTGGTTGTAAACCCCGATCAAAAAAAGTTCTGCCATCCTAAACCTGAGAGCCTAAAACCTGAGAGCCTAAAACCCCACTTGTGTCTGTAGGACACGGCGCGGATGCTGCTCTGTGTCGCGTAGCCCTGATCCTGCAAACTAATCTGATTAAATCAACGCAATTTATTTACTCCTCGGGGAGCTGCAGGGGGTGGCACGGGCTGGAAGGCTCAGCACCTGCAGAGCTGCCTGCAAAAACTGAAAAAGTACAACGACGAAATAAAACGGACGACTGGAGAGTTCGCAGTTCCTTTTGCCTCTCCCTCTTCATTCCTCCTTCCCCATAACCTCATTTCAAGCAGAAACACACCCCCCCCCGTCGCCTTTTCCCTCCCTTCCAATGCTCCCATTTATGCAAGTCTCATTTTCTTTAAAAAGCTAATTATAAATGACCAGCGAGAAGCATGAGGATTTAACTGTAAATCAAATTGACCTGTCTGTGTGTGGACATTTTTATTTACTCCTCTTTCTGAAAAACAAATAAACAGAGAGTCCCTCCCAAATAAAGCAGCTCCCCACTTAGATTTGAACACACTTTAAAAGAAATCTCTTTTGTTTTAGCCATTTTTATTTCCTGTTTGTTTCTGAGCTTAGACTTGACAATGAAAACCACATGAAATTCCCTTTTTGTTCCATCAGTTTTATTTTTGGTGCCACAATATCCCAATTTCCAGTTCTACAAGTTGGGGTTTGGTTTTTTTGGTTGGGTTTTTTTTGGTGCTTTTTTTTTGGTTGGGGTTTTTTTTATATGCATTTATTGCAAGGTTATTTTTCATAAAGTAAACTCATGAAAGTTTTCCTCCAAAATAAATAAATAAGAAGTTCAAGAGGACTAGAGGTATCAGGATGCTTAAAAAATAAAATCTAAATCTTTGAGCTAAATTACTGGAGCTATAAATGTCAGCGTGAGTAGGGATCCATACCTAACCAGGGAGAAATTCTGAAGTGATGAACAATACACACTTTTGTGTCCCATTTAAATAGGTTTTGCGGCTTAATTTGTGCGGGGTGGGTTTTAATAACAGTGCTTAAGTACCCCAGTGCTTGGGCTCCGATGGGCCCCCAAGTCCCAGGCCAGGGTGGGATGCAGGTGGGCTTTGCTGGGTGGCTGTCACAGGGGCTGGGATGGGGGGGCAGAGGTGGTTTTGGGGGTAACGTCCCTGTCCCCGGGGCTGGCAGAGTTTGGAGACAAGCTCCCATCCCTCTCCCAGCCCCGTCCCTTTTCTCTCCCTGACTGCTTTGATGGGATGGCCCCAGGGCCAGGCTGGATGAGTAATTAGTGCTCTGCAGCTTTGCTTTCCTACCCACCCAAACTGCCTACCTCCCAGGGCTCTGCATGGGATGCAGCCTCCAGCAGATGGAAAAACGAAGGATTTAGGGAAAAAAAAAAAAAAAAAAAAAAAAAAAAGACAAGACTTTGTCGGCAGTCCTGAGGCAACACAGTGCATTTCAGGATCCTGAAATTCAAACCTCTTGTTTGGCCGCTCTGCCATGTCTGTTGTGCCCCAGAATTTAGGGGGGGGCGGGGGGTCCTGAAATTCAAACCTCTTGTTTGGCCGCTTTGCCACGTCTGTTGTGCCCCCAAATTTAGGGGGGACGGGGGGCGGTGGCCCCGAATTTAGGGACACCTGGGCGAATGGCTGCGGGGGATGAAGCGGGGAGGGGGCTGCTGGCCCTCCCTGCTCGCCCACCCCGCCGTTCCTCCCCCGTTGCCCGTGATACAGGGGATTTTAACCGTTCGCCCTGTTTTAACCTGGGGGCCTGATCCTGCCACCCCCCTTGAAAACGCTGCGGGGATCGGTCCCTGCGGTGTTTGCAGTTGGGGGGGGGTGGTGGCCTCCCTCGGTCCCCTTCAAACAACGTCTGGGTAAACAGGCTGACCTTCAGGGCATGTTGCAAGGGCCATAAAAGCGGTGTATGGGGAGGGGGGAAGGGGGACAGGAGCTCCAGCATCCCCCCCACAACCTCCCTCCTCCTGCATCCCAAGGAAGAGGGGAGGGATGCTGCGGGCTGAGATCATCTGCCTGTTTTATTCACAGCAGCCTGCCTGCTGCAAGGGTTTTCCTGCCAGAGAGCTTTAAAAAAAATAAATAAAAAATAAATAAATATATAAATTACTTGGGGGGAAATAAAAAAAAAAAAAGAGAAAAAGACAAATCATCAGGAAACCTTGCAGCAGACATCGGCTCCCTCCGGCGCTGCGGGTTTGCACTGTGAGACAACACATCCCTCAGAGCGAGCCAGGGGCTTCTTGGGCTCTCCTTCCCTTAGCCAACGGAGCCACTCGTTGGCCACGGTGGCCATCACAGCACCCTTAGCAGTCACTACGTTTCCCTTCGCAGGGCCAGGTTGTTTTAAAACAAGGATCCAGCAGCAGCACCGCCGCCCCCTCCAAAAATAAATTAAAAAATAAAAAAGAAATGTTTCTTTCTGGCCGCTGGTTTTGCCAAGTTTTGTCACAGAACAAATGTTTATGATCAAGCCCAAACTTCTCCAGAAAGGATTTCCAGCAGAAGTGCTGAGGGATGGTGGACACAGGCAGCTCTTCAGCGCGCCAAGCCCTACGGGTGCGACATGCCGATGGCGGGGCAGGATCCTCCCTGACCTTCAACCCCCCCCCGCTTGATTAGGGGCTTTCTTCAGCTTGTTTACTAATTGTGAGAATCATTTACATCTCCTGAGTCATCCCCTCCATCTCGGGGGGCTCGCTGCCCCTCCAATCTGCATACAAAACTCCTGATGGAGTCACGGAGCTCCGGTCTCCTTGATCTCGCAATCTCAGCCTCCCTAAAACGGGGCAGCTTTGAGATACAGCGATGACCCCGTGGTGAGCACAGGGTTTGTTTTTTTTTTTCCCTTTGACCGCCGGAATAATTAGTCAAATTCATACAATCAGCCCAAATAAATAACAGCACCGCATACCGATCTGCTGATGCCAGGCCCCGGCTGCCCTTTGCTGCCGAGCGGGCAGCGCGTGCCCGGCCCCCGAGCTGCAGGCAGGATGCCCGTGCCTCCCACTCCTGCCTGGCATCCCGCTCTCCCCACTGCCTCCTCTGCCTCCTGGTTCCCCTTCTGCTCTCTTTGTGGGTGCAAGGGACAATGGCACATCTCTCCTAGGATGTAGCTGCGCTGGCACGGGCTGGGATGGGATGCTTTGAAGCCATCCCTGCCGGAGCGGGCAAAGGCAGGCAAGCAGGCACCAGCAGATGGGATGCTTTGAAGCCATCCCTGCCGGAGCGGGCAAAGGCAGGCAGGCACCAGCGGGGTTGTTTTGGTTACACAATTCTTCCAGGCAGAGTTTCTAACTGAAACCACCTCTTTTTTCCCTTCCCCAAACCAAAGGGATTAATCTCCCTGAAGCTCCTGCACCGGCGACTCCGTGCCATCGTGACTCCGTGCCATCGCGACTCGTTCGGGCA